GCAGGTGAAATGAATAGAAATTGGGAAAAATAATTAAAACAGCTGAATTTTTCCGCGGGTGAAATCCCGGGGGTTGAAAGGGGTGGAAAGTGGTGTTTTGCAAATTGAAACATAGACAATATCATTATCGAACAAGGACACAAAAACATTTAATGTATCAAAGGTTACTCCCACAAAATAAACGAATTATTATGTATAAGCGGATGCAATTTTGGAGCAGGGAAGGGTTCACTATTATGTACACTTAAAAGGTGATGTGTGGACCTTGTAAACAATATCAAACAAGGAAATAAACATACTTGGAGTTCTATATAATGACATCCCTCGTTATAAACGAATCGTTATATAAAGTTGAGTTTTCATTTCAAAAAACCTGTATATCTTGAAACGGTAAAGGACTTTATGTGCATTTAAAGGGTGGCTTATAGACCCTGTAATAAAAATTAAACAAGGAAACAAAAACATTCGAAATTACAGCACTTGCAGACGAATAGTTATGTAAAAGCGATTTTTAGACAAAAATTATAAGCCACAATACTGTTATGTGCACTTAAAGGGGAGCTTGTGAATCCTACAAAAAAATCAAACATGGAACCACCACCCTCTTCGGCGTGAAAAATCCAAAAAAAATCCTCTGTAAATATAAACTTAAAGATACGGAGAGGGAACCTAGGAAATTTTAAGCAGGCAGGCGTATTCTGTTATCTACATCCAAAAATTAAAACTTCTTTAATTAATTTCCCAGCTTCTGCTCATCATAAAAATCGTAGACATATGCCAAAATGTCAATTAATTAAGTGCGCTACTAATAAAACCACTCGCAATAGAATCGGATGCTTGTTTTAGAGCGTATTTTTCAAAATAGGAAAAGTATCTAACTATTGTGGAGACACTTGGTCCGTTCTCAATCATACATTTTACCAGAGAGTGCCATGGATTTAAAATTTGGGTAGAAGAGGACTTATGCTAATGGTTCATGCACGACCAAATATCTTCGTGCGTCTGTTCTGCCAGACCTGTGAAGCTAATTCATTATGTTTCGGACATTTCAATAAAACTAGGAACTAGGAAAATGTACTTTGTCATATTTTAATGTTTACAGATTCAAATACATTCACTTACACGAAATTTGACAAATAAAATTCATTTGGTTAAACTTCCGACTAAAAAAATTGTTTTTATGCATTATTGGGCCATTCGTTTCGCTTCATAGTTTGTTAAAGAATTGGTCATTAGTCCTCCAAATTGTTTGGTTTGACTGTTTATGAATTCAAAACAATTTAATTCGCCTCAAATTAATTTCATAGATCTCAATGAATCTGTTGCCTGTTTTGCTTCGTAGGGATGTTACAAAAGTAAATTTGATACAATTCAATTTCTTGTTCGTCCATTTGTTGCGTCGTATTATGAAACCCGTTCGCATTTTTTTATGTTTTTCCATATTGAATCGTGAAAAGAGAAAAAAAAGTGTTGTTTAATGATCTGTATTGTATATCTACTCGAAAAAAAGATGAAAGTAGCGGTTTGTCGTTTTGCAATTTGTTAAAGTCAAAGTTACATTAGCGAAAATGGTAAGCGTAGCGAACCAAGAATAATTAAGAACATGTGCTTCGCGCACATCTATAAATGGTCATTAACCAATTAATCACGTTACAAATAGTTATTGGTGATTAGGCCTTTTAAATGCCCGGTCATTAAGTAAGTATGCGAATTAGCTTAGTGTTTTAATTATCCTCTATTAATTATCGGCCTCAGAAGTGGTTGACCGAAAAGGTGTTTCGGAGCGTTGTATCACCGAAAGATCTTTGTGTGTGAATTTATAAAATCTGTCGTGGTCAACATCGGCAACGATAGCATTGACCTGCTGAAAGGGATATCCTCTAACTGTATCGTGAGCCGTATTCTTGTAAATCCTATCAGCTGCTTTAGATGTAACGTTTGTCACGATTTTATGTAACTTTTTTTTCTTTCCTAGTTACTCAATACCTAACAGATAAATTTTTAACATAAAACTACACTGTACTGATATGTCATGGGAAAAGTTGAGATCTATATCGTATATAATTTCCTGAAGAAAATGCGCTCTCTCCCAAACCGACAATCATGAGTTTGTTTTAATTATGATCTGATGAAATTACTATGAGAAGATAGTTATTTCATTTGCAACGAATTACTTTTGTTTTCATTCAAATAATTACGTCACGATGACACTCGTTCATCAACATATAAGGTAATATGTTACCTTTTACTATTTTTATGTAAGAGCACCTGTGATTTTACTTTTCCTTCAAAACATTTATGTCAGTTGCTTATGAAGGATGCACAATGTGTATCCATTCTAAGTCACGTTTGACTACATTCGCAGCGTGCAATTGCGTATTCTCCGATGTATTAAGAATATTCTGAACTATATAGTCATTTTTTCAAATTTTTTTTCTTTTGAATAGCATCCCCCAGCTACGTTTAGCGGACAAAGACAATACAGTGTAAAGGTAATTTAAAATATTCCTTGAACAAAAGAACTTGCCAACTGGCGCAGCTTATCATTTATTTTCATACATACATACATGGAAGCTGTTGTAAATGTTTATCCGCATTGGACGAATGGGCGATTTTTGATACTTACACCATTCCATTAAAAAAATTCTGATATATTAAAGAAATGGAGTCTAGCAGCCACCCCCTCTTGCACTTGGTCATTTGTATATAAGATTTTATCTGATAGCTCGCTCTTCAGGTTAATGTTTCTACCGGTTTAATCCAATTACATTTGGGATATCCTTTTGGCGCAAGTTAACCTTAGTATTCCCATGTTTTTCACACTAAGAATTAAGAATTTGAAATATGCACTGCTGACTTGTGAAATTTGATGCTGGCCTACCACCGGAAATTTTTATGCGACAACCCGACCTATCTTTCATATTTGACCATATTTATAATTTGTTTAGTTCACGTCACCAACACTATGAAGAAGGTCATTATTTACGCAATTCATGCAAAATCAATATAAGTGACTAATAGAGTCTCTTGCTCTGGAATTTTTCCTGTAAAACATGGAAACTATATTATTTATAATATGGAAGTAAGGTGAATACGTATAAAATCCCGGAGGTGATAATGCAATGGCATAGGGACACGAAGTGAATTATTATTATTTTCCGGAAATCACCATGAAACCATCATGTTTATACCTGATGCTTCACATTAGAAAATTTTAGTTTCCATGACAGTGGTAGTAACTCTTTTCCTGCCTCCTATCACTTTACCAGTCTCCTTTTCCTATCGTCTGACGACAGATGACAATTAAATTTTTACGGAATACAAAAAGAACGAACTAAGTATATTGAAAATTGTAAGGTCCCTGATCGACAAAGGACGAACAGAGAAACGGGCTTCGTTGGAAAATGCGCTAAAAAGTATAAAACCGAGTATATGAAAGCCTAATATTCCTGGGGATACAAAAATTTCGCCTATCGGAACATCGAAATAGAACCCAATAAGTCATGTAGGTATGTGTAACTTCATGTTTAGTTCAACGAGACCACTTTTCTTTTAAACTCGTCAAAGATTTTTCTGGGGCCCTTAGGAAATTACCCAGGGTTAGCTTGATCAAGTAAATTTTACTGATTTCTAAGAGATTCTTTGTGCATTTTTACAGATTTTTTAAGAGCTCAAATAAGATATTCTTTACTATTACTCTAACCACCAAGTTATTCTTCATTGATTGATACATTGATTATCAGAAACAGAAAGGTTTGGCGTTTTGTTACACCCAAATTAAAAAAAAAACGTTTAAAAATCATCTTAAAAACCTCTGGATAAGAATCTCCATAGAATCTCTTAGGACACCTTATGTCTCTGTGACGTATCTCAGGGCAAGTTCTAAACAGAATCTGCTGTGAATCAATACACATCCAATGAAGTATATTTTTGCATTATATATATTTAGAAACATTTCCAAGAGACCTATATAGGGTTACCAGTCACAACACCATACAATAAATTGTGGCGAAAGTTTTAAAATTCTTAAAGACAGTGAATGGAAACAACATTCAACAATGTAATTTTTGGCCTAATACCCATTAATAATAATAATAACTTTATTAGATCATAAACCAGAGTAATGTGGCATTGATCAAGTCAGTAAAAAGAACATAATTTTAGTATGTATATAACAAACATGTACAGGATTGCCAAATAAATTAACGGATACATGTACTTAATGTTATAGATATATAAACCAAAAAGTGAACAAAAACTTTAAGGCAGAATGCTTCAAATTCTCCCAGGGAATAGAAACAGTTATTTATTATAACGCTTTTTAGCTCTCGCTTAAATTTAACAGCTGTTTCGCAAATTTTTACGCTTGCTGGGAGTTTGTAAAAAAGACAAATCCCTGTATTAAAGGGCGATTTTTTGCAATGTGAACGTGAACTTCCATGCCATACTCTGAAGTTGGTTATAACTTGACATTCAAAAATCTGTTGTTTAAAAACATTTCGAATTAAATGACACATTATTATGGCCACAGTATGAATATTTCATATCGTCTTCAATTTTTTTTTAACATGAAAGCCTTTTGAGAGAACAACGCTTTGAGTCACATATTTATCTGATTTAAAAACAGTGTTCGTCACCCCGGGTTGGAAATTAAAATTTGTGAACCCACTTATCACTCTGTCAATGTTAGCAATGGATAAGATAAGATGAACAAACGATGCTGCTTTTCTGAAAGATAAAAATACTTCCGGATCATCTTTAAACATCTGTAATCTAACTGAAATGATTCTCCATATTTCCGCATTATTTGTGTTTTGTTTCTTTTTTTTGGTAAACTCGTGGTAAGTCATAATCTGAAATAATAAGGAAAATTGACTGCAGAAACCATAATTCTCTTCACCTTATGCCACACAGCAAAACTTTTGCTTTTCATTTCTTTACAATTTCCCCATAATCATTTTGCCCATTTCGGATTAACACAATTCAATACTATATTTGTAAGTCGCGCGTAATTAATTACCTCTTTTTTCAGGGCCAAGTCCTTGGTCCATCATGGCATGATGAATGACGCTTCCTAGGATATTAAGTAGACGCCTCCGTGGTGTAGGTAAGTTAACTAAATTGATTTGAGAACGTTGCGAAGGTCAATACCGTTGTAAACTACATGACTAATAATCATCAAGTAAAATTTTGTGGAATAAAAACAAGCCACAGTAGGAAATCTACTTTGTGTTACAGTTTCACATTTCAAGTCTATAAACCAAGGTTGATTAAATTATTATTCTTAAAACCCTCCGGGCAAAATTACGGCAAGGACTTTCTTATTATTGTACAGTTCTTTGAAGTCATTACGTAAATAAATCTTATATTTAGTTTAATCATAGACATAAAACTGTATATAAATTATTGATTTGTTAATAGCGTTTTATTACGATTAGTGTATATTTTATTGTAAGCGAAGCTTAATTTAATGTTATTGGTCAATTGCCTTAATTCACTGTTGGTAAAAAAAACTTGTTGACGGCAGAATCCAAGTAGAAAATTGACGTAGTATAGTATTTCCCCTCAGGTGGAATCGGTTAAACGTGAAGTTCGATCTAATTGTACCAATTTTATTTCAGGTTATGAGATGAGATAAACCAACGCGAAACGGTTCGAATGTAAATCAATTAGCTTTATTTATGACACAAAGGAATTAACTGTAGTAATACACGCAAAAGGGAAGCCATATTTTTTTCAAAAAAAGGTGCAAAGTTGATAAATTCAGGGCAAAATCGTACCATAAGAGGTGGGGTGAATTAACTTCTTTACGCGTTATCTGGGATTCATATAAGGGTTAATTGAACCCACGCTTCGCAAACCGTGCAATTAGGGACACTGCATGGGTTAAAAATAAGGGGTTTTGAAACGGAAGTTACATATGTTCTACTTTAGTTTAAGAGTTTTGCTTATGTAAAACAGAAAACCTGAATTATTAACGTTCTAAAATAAAATTTGAATAGGCCTTTCCCTACTTACTTTCTTTGATGACAAACAGATTTACTGTATATAAATTTATTTCCGCTAGGCGGTTATTCTATTTTTCCCGCTAATTATTCATTTTTTCTTTGGAAGATATATATGTTAATTACAGACCATAGTGTGAATTTTCTAACAATGCGTCATATACGGATCTCACCGCAAATCAAATAATTTCCTTGTTGATGAATTGTAAAACGCAGTTAACATTAGTCGATCATTAATATCGCCATTTGCTCACAATGATTCTTCCTACAAAAGCAAGGAACAAAAACGTTATCACTCATAGAGGTATGTCTTGATCTCAGTTTAATGGTGTATTCTTTAAAACGCGTTTTTTTGGAATTTTCTACATTTTCGTCAGTTGATTTATTCTTAAAAATTAATACACCTTCAAACCAGGGATGCAATCGCAGTAGTAAACACAATTGGAGAAAGATACATAGAAAGAGGACGAACTGTAAGTCTGTGCAGTACATCTGAAAAAGGATTGTGCGAAATACAAAAAACTGGTACAAGGGTTCTTCTTTTCTGCGCCACATTTAGAATGATGGAAGTAACAAGTTTACGATGTTGCAAGATATTTTCCAAAATTTTGTCGTAATTGCCAATGGCAAATTTAATGTAGACTTAAGACAGTTTTTTAAAATATAACTCTCTAGTTCTAGAAGTTCCTTGAATAGCAGAGTAATTTTTAATACTTTCGTATAATCTAGATCAATTCGTTCCACCCTCGCATTACGCATACAATTAAAGGCGAAATGCAATTTTTGGGATATTTGCAGCTATGAATCGGTCACCATTTTGGTTTGTGCGACGGTGGTCATCGTAACTTTCGACGTGCATATTCACGGTCCTCATCTACAAAACCTATGGATACGACATCTCGCAGACTCTTTGAATAAGTAGAAAATGATCTTTTGACTTGTCCCTGATTTTGGTTTGTGTGAGACACGAGACCTACACCTAAACAATAAATTCATCACTTCCTTCAGATAGTTTACATCAAGTAATTACAATTGAAATTACCTACTATTTGTATTTCATTTGCACTAAGAGTATTCTCATTAACGTCTACGACCCACTTAATTTATGTGAATCCAATTAGTATTGTTCGTTTTGTTTGGTAATAAAACTGACTTTGAATTTCTCACTATACATTTTACCGAAAGAAACGAGGAAACTATTTATTACTTTTGTTCGGGATTGAGTAATGCCGTTGACTTTAACATGTCTAATTGCTCGAACGCACTAAATTAAACAGAACTTATGTAAACTACAGTTCGAGGTCTAATAATAAAACAGGATACGAAGTATCGCATACGATTTTCAGTAGGGGAATTTTTTACCACTCACATCGTATTCGGAAACCAGACTTTTATAATCCGGCTCATTTCCAATTGAACTCCTAAAAATCGATTGGTGAAGGTTTGACATCTTTTCATTAGATCATTAGATGTATCAATAAATGTAAAAAATGTGTAAACGCCAAATCTTGAGGGCGCGAGTGCTTTTTTTGGGTTTTCCGCGCTACAGCTAAATTTAGAGCTTCATAAAAAGGAAACCACCGAACCAAATCAATTTTAGTACGTTGCTAATTGAATGTTCCCTAACAGGCGTTCTGAATTTTAATTACTTTATTGAGACTGCCACAGTTTCTTTTATAAAACATCGTGATTTCCGAAATGCCGCACAAACATTTAACTTGCACGACTATCTGCACTTTAACAATGAGATTAACAACATTTGAAAAATCATCAATGCGGTTTTTTTTTCTAAAGCAAATGTTTAAATTAAATTTTAACACAGTGTCTGGATCAATTCGTAGTACCTAATTCTTTCGGCAGAATTGAGTAGAGAATGTATTGGCTCCTACGACTTTAACTGAAGCAACGGAGCGATTCCATTAAATTAAAAATTATATTACAAAGCGCACTAAAAATACTCCTAAAAATTGCATCTTGTGATGGATATCTGTGCCTCGTCTAAGTCGAAAACGAAAAGAAACAGTAAGAGACAGACCTTCGCCAATCCATTTCTACAAGTTCAAGGACCATGAGTAGTACTCTCAAATTTTTAAATGTACGCCAATACTGTAATTTACATAATTCCTCCGGTCATGAAAATACGAAACAATTATACTTGAAGTTTTGAAAATGGAAGTATACCTAGAGTACATACAAGATAAACTACTGCTGATTTCCATGATTCTCCAATCTCGGAACAAAAGCTTCTAAGAGCATTCTCTTCAAATTCTAACACACACTTTAAATGTTTAAAAGGTATAAGTGGTAATATTTATAACCAAACATTCAAAATTTGTAAGATACCAAACCAAACCTGATGCTTACAATGGTGTAACTTTCTACCAAACAATCTGTGGACTGTATATAACAATTTGCAATTGGAGGAAAACTTTTACTTTGGATGTTGAGGTTTGGGTCTAATTGCACCGTACTAAGGGAAAAGTTGTTAGCATTCTACAATTGTATGACACTCTGAAACTCAGTTTTAACCGTCGGGTGTGTATAACAATGTCTTAGGAATTGGCAACCTTGAAGGCTTTTAGATTTTCAGAATTTTGCAAGACGTAAAGAAGCTGACAACATTAACAACACTCGGGAAGTTTCGATATCTGAAAACAACCATTTTTTTAACATATAAAATCACTACATATTGAACGATTCAAATATGAAGATAGTTTTTGTTTTCGAGTTTATTTATTGCTGACAGGTCGTTCGTACTGTAAGAACACCGGTAATGAATCGTGTTGGTGTGTACAGTCAACTACAAGACAAGCTTTTCCTTTTACAACGAACTCACCACAATTGTCTCACTCACTTGCATCTTTAAATACCGGAATATTATTTATTTTAAACAAATCTCGTCTCCATGTTTGACCATTTAAGGAGAATGCATATCACGCCGATCTGAACTTTCTTAAAATGCATAAGAAGGAATTTCAAAGATTGTAGCGATTTTCAATAATAATGCGGCAAGAGTGGCTGCTTTTTGCTACGCGTTCGACGTGGACAGTCATTGTCAATGCTAGGAATTTCCCATTTACATGATAAAGTGATGTGGGAATCTGGGAAACTGCATAATTAGATAACAGTATTTTCCTATACACTACAACCACTTTTTTACACTGCCATTAAAGTCTTAACCACACATCACGTCTATACGACATGTAGAATTGGTACGTAAATCTAATACAACGGTATATACCATAATTTATTAGCGAATTAGATAATTTGACTAATTAGGTCTATTTTTATAGCCCGAACGGTAATTGTAAGTCAGTCATATAATTTTTAAATTGCACAATATGGACGTCCTAATTATGGTCGCGATATTGCTGCACGTTATACAAGGTACTGCACATCTTTTTAACGGTAGCTTTGTAAGCATATGATTTTCAAAGCACTACTAAATTGTATGAAATACTGCAGACCGTAAGTGGTCGTATCGTAAATCAAAGTCATACATTTTTTTCCGATGAAAAAGCTTGTTTTTAGTGTCATTATTTATACTGAATGCGTTTGGGACATTTATTGTAAGATTATTATTGCGAATTTTTTGGCATAACTACACGCAGGTAGAATTTGCTTCCTAATTAGCAAAAGACAATTTGCAGAAGACATTCGCTAGAGTCTATTAAAATATCTATAAGAATATTTATTAGTAACTTAGCACATTAACGAGTAACGACTAAAAGCAACGTGTATGCAATAACATTAAATTAAAAGGCTTTAAAATTTTTGAGCACAAGGCTCATTAAACTTATTTAATTTGCATATCGACTTGGACTGCTTCCTCTATAATACAAAAGTATTATCTATTGGTATATTATAACCCCAACTTTAAAGTTCATACTGATACGTATTTCAAAATATTGTTCTCGCCACAATTTAAAATATTTATATTTTATACGTTATAATTCGACTTTTTTCGTCTTATTATACATTTTGGAAATTGACAGCGTATTAGCGTATCAATTTCCTAGATCAAAATTTTAAAAATATATCTCGAAGAGGAAAAAAGCAAATGCTTTTTCCCATAAGAACATTACCCATGGTTATTTGACTA